TTTCTTTTTTTGGTGTGTTAGAATCTGAAAAGTTTATGACTTTATTCTAAAGAAGTGATGGTCACAATTAGTGGGATAAGACATCCACCAATGTTCATGAGGAGCTGTAATAAGAGCATCATATAGCTAATCTCCATTTTATACTGAAATCCGTGATTGACATGTGTTTAAGTTCTATGCCTTAAAACCCAGGACGTCACATTATTCTAGAAAGTCTTTTTGGCGAGGAACGGATATTGAATTCTAATGGTAAAATGTTTTTGTTGTCCACATATTTGATCGGTAAGTCTCATACCTAACATATGGTGTAAGGTTACACTTAGCTGCCCCCACTATGCATTTTTTTGCGTGTGTTTAGTCAATTTTAAACGAAAAAGTATGTTAAGGGTCCAAAGGTTTTTATTCACTGAACAATTACCAATCCTCCAAAAGTCGTTAGACACTTGCTATGTAGGGCAGGCTGGGACCTAGCGCGTAGGGTGCCTAGGCAAGGATTGTTAGGATTCGTGAAATATTAATAAATATATTTACATTTTTCATTGTATATGATCACAAGATACAATATATAAAATATATAAATTAATGCGACCCTATACAGAGATTATCCAATTTTTTTTTGCTTAACTATTGTATTAGTTTTAAGTTTCAACAGTGTTTGATTTTTAATTTTATATGTATATTCTGTGTATAAAACATGTTCGGAGTATAGTATAGTATTAAACTAAATTAGAACCAGAAACAAAACCATAAGCAAACCGAGCTTTATGTCTCCTAGATGTTGGTAATCTGACTCCATCAACTATATGTTTTCCTATTACAACTCTAGGAAGTTCATGCTTTACAAATTGTTGAAAGTTATGAAAGAAAAACCTACTTTATCGCCAATGTTTTGGCCACTGTGCTGGCTTCTCTGTGAATGTGTTTCAAACTGCAATTAAATCAACAACAACAACAACAACAAACCCAGTATATTCCCAACAGGTTGGGGTCTGGGGGGTCAGTTGTACGCAGACCTTACCCTTGTAATTATACAAAGAGGCTGTTTCCGTAGCGACCCAAGGTGCATTGCGCCGTTTGATATATTTTTTTTTTCTAGAAACTTCACTAATAGAAGAAGCACTAGAATTTAATTGAGCCATTTTGATCTAGTCCATTATTAGCACTATGCCAGGAGAATTGTCAACAATGACTCTTCCAGCTCCATTTGCAATGGCCACGCAAACTGCAATTAAATCCCTGCAATAAATTTCGATTGGTTTGGGCTTATGTTCATATTATTTATGTTTCATCTTCACAAAGGAACCTCTTTGATAAACCCTTTTTGCTACTTGAATCTAGGGTTTTGAACGAAATAATACAGCCTCAAATATTGTCAGTATGCCTTCTAATTTTGTAAACGCTGAAGCTGTTGAGTTGATCTCAGAAATCAGAAGGGAATACGCCATAAAACTGGAAAAGGTAAATATTTAGAGAACTTTAGGCAGAACATTCTTCTTATAAATGTCATGAAATATGTTGATGCTGGGTTGGTGCAGTCTGAAGAACGCACTAGAAAACTTAGAGCAGATCTTGCTGTTGAACAACACCGTGGGAAAGAGCTGGATAGAATACTCAAGGAGATACCTCCTGATCCAAACACACCATTTGTATCAAAATCTCGTCGAGGAAGAAGGGTACACTATTTGACTCTTCATTGTTGTCTCTTTTCATATGTTGTTTTAAATAATTCCATGGTACTTGAGGTAAACCCGGTTTAGCTTGTTCCAGAAAGACAGATTTCTACCTTACTTTAGACATGTTTAGCTTGTTTATTTATTACTCTATAATACTAACAATTAGCAATCTTCCATAGGTCCTCTATCATGAGCCTACTTTTTTCTGCACTTGAGTGTTACAAAATATTGTGTTGTATCTCCTGTGAAGTTCCTTGATTAGCCTTACTCTTTTGTTTGCCTCTTTCTCCCTTTCTTTTTTTCCCTGTTATATTTTAAGTTGGTAAAATGATGTGCGATTATTAATTTACAGCTAATGATGATATTGGCTACATTTTGGTGTTAGGCAAGCAATGAAATAAAACAGATGTCAAAATGTCTCACGGAAGATGCCTTGGCATATTTTGACGAGTGTGTGTCTCTCTCGACTTTCGATAGTTCCGACTTCTCTGCATCAGAAGATCCACCTTTGAGTGCTGATCTTCCCCAGAAACAGGTTATGAGGGCATCATTGTACTTTTTATACTAACATATCTGAATTTATCAAATCAAACTAGAGTTTTGCCTCTCTACATTGTTCGCTGATTATAAAATAGTGCAGCTCTATGGCTACGACGATTCTTCAATAATGACAGACAGCTGCAGCTTTGATCCACAGAGCACTCAACGTTATAACTTCTCATTTACCGATAGAAAACATGGGCCTGAAGAGGAGATGAGGAGCTGCATTAAGAATTTCGAGAAAGGCACTAAAAAAGATGTCGACTTTGAGGCCACATCATCGCACTACGATGCTGGAGAATATCACATGAGAGGCCAGCGCGAAAGTTTATTAATTGATAGGGTGCTGTATAAAGGCAGAATAGAATCAGGAGGCTTGCACTTATGTAGTGGGGCTATTGTTTTTCTGCCTTTTGCTCCCGTTATGTGACGGTAAATCATTAGGGACGTGAAGAGAGTGTTTAATGGAGCTTGTGTTTTGGTTTAGTCCACTCAGTTTCAGAATTTAAGAAATTATTGGTTTTCTTCTCGGCCATTTTAAGTTGGGAGGCACTTGAAACTTTTATATGGAAGGTGAAAATGAGGATGTAAGTATTGTCTTAATTCGTTTGTGATGAAGTAAATTATACTAGTGCTGCGCGAGTGTGTGAAACTAGAACGTGTATGTACAATAAAAAATATATATTTAAAAGAGTTTTATTTTAATTTTAAATTTTTTAAAAATAAATCGAACACGAACAAGAAAGAAAGAAAAAGGTATATTTTTTAATTTCAAATTCTGAAAGGAATCTACATACCCAACTTTTAACAGTTTCTCATAAACTGTTATGAAATGCTATTTAAATTTCCGAGAAATTTATGCGCACAATAAATGTAACTATTATTTTTTATTGGAAAAAAAAAGTCTTATGCTCTTGTTTAAATAATTGAAGCTTTCTTTAAAGGCTTAATTGCAAATAAAATCATGACCTTTTCGAAATTTGTAATTTAATGCACCACTTTTAAAGTTGGCAAATCTATACATCACTTTTATAATTTTTTGCAATTGTATGCATCGGGCCAAAAATTGGGCTTCCCTTGCTGACATGGCTTGAACATTTTATACGTGTAAATACTTGTTACTTTAACTTTAAAAACCGATTCCACGTGGCAACTGCATATATAAAATCCAAAAATCTCATTTGAGATCGTCGATCTCTCCAAAATCTTCCCCAAATTTCCTCAAACCCTAAATTTCGCCCCGCATACTACTCTACAAGATTCGACCGGAAAGCATGTCTTCATCGACATCTCAAAGCTCTCGCACATATGTTTCATCTCATTCAAGTCAAAAAACTTGTGAGCATGTGAAGCTGGTGTTAACGTCAATGACTCAAGAAAAATCCGGCAAGGAGGTTCAGTCGGTGTGAAAAGAAGGTGAGCCATTTTAACGAGGTCATTTTATTATGATTTTCATGTCTGTGGTCATTTTGAGTGTCTTGCATTTTTTTTCCTGTATTTGTAGGGCATTGACTGCGATTATTTTGAATGGATCGATCCAAGTCTTCCTCCATTTCAGAAAGGTTGCTTTTTGAACTTATTGAGTCAGAAAAAGAGTTTGGAAGAACAATTAAGGTGCGAAAAGGTTATAGAAAAATTGATGTTATGTTTTTAGATGAAAATAGGTTTTTGGAAAAAAATTGATGCTCATTTCGATTGTTATTGATGATGCTCCATTTTATTGTTATGTGCTAAGGTGCAAAGATGTTATGGAAAAACTCATGACAGAAAGAATGGCGATCAAGGTTTCAGAGCTTGATAAGGTGCAGGATCTCCATCAGCAAACTCAATCTATGTTGGAGCTGCAGACTTTGAAGTGTCAAAAAATAGAGAAAAAACTGAAGATTGCAAAGGACCAAGTGACCAAGCTCCAAAGAATGTTCAAGCTGGCAGCAATTTGGATTATAACACTCATAACAATAATACTGATATTAGTTTACTCAAAAAGAGACAATCATTCTAAAGGATACATTGAGTTGGGACGACTGAACTTTGTAGGGTAGTTGATCGATTTGTAGGATATGTGCTTTCTGATGTGTTGGTGATGAGTAGGTGATGTGTTTGTGGTAGTGTAGTTGATCATTCTAGTGGTATGATGAAGGGGTTATGAACTAAATGGATCAATGTGATTATGTTTTGAGGCTTATGGTAATGAAATGAAATTATGAATGTTTTTATCACTGTGGTGCGCTTTAACTATCGGTGTCTGTTATTCCAAGTGCTTTTCATCATTGGTCTGATGTTTGGTGAAAACAAAAGAAAGTAGATAATGTGTTGTTTTGTTCATTTTTATACACTAAACAAAGCAATATAAAGACCTAAAGCTACTGATCTGATCATCAACCATCAAATACAGATCACATACATAACATCATTGTAACCAAAACATAATAAGCCACTGCATAGAAGTAGAAAAACAACTGATTACCAAAAGTATCCTTTTCCCTAAATCATCATAACCAAAGCAAAAGGTAGTTCACCATTACATCAGACTATAATTCATAACAAAACAACTGATTGCCATATTTTCATCCTCTATTGACTAATTTGTCCAATTCATCATAAAAGTAGCAAAACAAAGTGACTACCCATCATAAAAAACAAAGTAGCAAAACAAAGTAGCAATGATAGTGACACTATGAGGCTTCTGCCACACTTTCTTGAGTCCCAATATTTTCAGCTCCTTGACTGTTATCTCCACTTCTTTTGCCTTTATTTTTGGTACTCAGAGTTGATTTTCTTGAGGGTATAAGTGAATACCCTTTCCAGCCGACATCTGAACATTGAAATCACAAGAAGTTCAAAGTGAATATCCTCTTTTAAATGGATAGATGAAAGAATTATACTATGTTTAAATTCACTTACCCGCATATATATGTTTCCAGTTTCTTCAGACTGCAATATCCCCACACCCTTCATAGCATGTAAAAATCATAAAATATAACTATATGCTTTGTGTAGGATAAAACACTAAAACACAAAGGTTAGCATCTCACCATGGCTCGTTCCTTGTGAATGACTGTCCTACTAGATTGCTTCTTCTTGGATCTTGTTGAAGTCTTTCTACTGATCCTACTTGATCCACCTCCATCTGGTTCACATATAGTGCTACTTGACACACCTCCAACTGGTTCAATGACAGGTCCTGCTGGTACCTTCCTTGGCCTTCCTCTCTTGTTCTAGTTTGAAGTAACAAAATGTAAGAAAAATGATAAAAAATAAATAAATAAAAAAATAAAAACAGGACTAACCTAATGATCACATACTAACCTTTGGTTGTTTTGGTACAGGGTCTTTCATACAAGTTTCTTTATTGTGTCCCTTCCCTTGGCACCTCTGGCATGTCATTTGTAAGCTAAACCTTTTAAGCTTTGAGGCAGTTTTTATTTCTTCCTGTGGTGCTCTTCTCCTCTTCTTCTTAGGCCTGCCTGGCATTTTCTTAAAAGGGGATGGTTTCACTGGATAGCCATCAGCAATTGGCCACATATTTTTTTCCATTCAATGGCTCAAGGGAGCAGCTGTACATATTAATGTACCTCTCAAGGCTGAAGTATCCATCCACAAAGTCAGCTGGGTCTTTATGCAAGAAGTGAATAGCAGAGCAAGCATGGATGCAAGGAATCCCACAAAGGTCCCATGTCCTACAAGAGCATGTGTTGGTCCTGAGGTCTACCACATACTGCTCATCATCAATGCTAACTTGAAACCTATCTCCAACAGCTGGTTGGGTAGTGCACAACCTTGACATGAACTTGTTCTTTTCTACCTTTTCTCTAATCCTGGGACATATGGAGTCATATTCCACTAGCTTGTAAAAGCTTTCCATGTTGCCTTGTCATTAATTCAGTCCTAATACCCTCAAGCATATCTATGATGTGTTTGCTTCTGAACTTCACAATGTAGCCATTAAAAGTCTCACTGACATTGTTTTCAATCATATCACATCTTGGCATGGTAGATATGAATGCTTTGCAGAATCTTTTAGGGTCTCTTGAGATAAAATCCTCATATGCTTCAGGTTCTTCAATTTTTAGGTTCTCAAGTGCTAAATTATATGCTGGCACATTAGGACTCAACACTATTTTCCAAAACATGGACTTAAGTTCTTGGCCCTTGAACTTTTTTTTCCAATTCATGTAGACATGCCTTGCACAATTTCTGTGCTCGGCATATGGAGTTAGCATTTCCACAGCATTCATCAGTCCCTGCCAATGTAAGTTCACATGCATTAATACAAAACACAAATGTTTTAAAACTAAATATGGGGTAAAGTGTAGATAACATTCAAGATTATTTGCTATTTACCTTTTGTTGGTCACTCACAAGTGTATATCCCAGACCATCAGAAATTCTCAGATCATTAAATAAGATACTGAGAAACCATGTCCAGCATTCTTCATTCTCTGACTCAACTACAGCCCAAGCAACTGGGTATATCTGGTTGTTCCCATCTTTGGCTGTTGCACATAACATAGCTCCCCCCAAGAATGTCTTAAGAAAGCACCCATCAAGACCCAAGACAGGCCTACAACCATGAATGAACCCTTTCTTGAGTGCACTGAAGCCAATGTAAAGTCTCTTAAACTGTGTGTCCTCACCAACAAGTAACTCAAATCTACCCTCCTTGTCTACTCTCATTAGTTCTAATATATAACTTCTGACAGAAGTATAATGTTCCACAACTGTTCCTCTCAGCATCTCTAGGTCTTTCCACTTACCTCTGTACAACTTCCACTTTGATGGGTGAACAACAATGTTTCTCAGAATATCATCAGATAGTTGGCTAATAGTGAAATTGGGATTCTTCTTAAATGTATGCAGGTATTCCTCTGCAATCCACTCAGCACTTGCTTGTTTTGTGTAAATGTCCCTATGACATTTATGCTCTTCAACAATGGACTTTATGGCAACACTTCCTTCACTTGGAATTACACTGACATACAATCTCCATGGGCATCCATCCACACACTTGACTTCTAGCAGTTTCTTGTTGCTCCTCATATTCTAAGTATTTCTCTCATTCAAAATTGCAACTTTTCTTACTGCCTTTTTGCATTGAACAATTGACTCAAACCTCATACCAACCTGCAACACAAGTGTTTTGTGATCACAGACAGAATCATACACAGTTCTGATTTTTTTTCTCCTCGGCCTATTCTCTGTGATTTCATCCTTTTCACTGCTGCTTGAATCAGTCATAACTGCACATTGGTCATCACTAAAATTATCCATATCAGCTTCTTCACCTGCTTGAAGTCCACTGCTTGTAAATTGGTTGAGCCTACTTTCTGATATACCATCATGAGGTGGACTCTTCCTATACTTTTTTATGTTCTTTCTTGCTTCAATGTACTCATCATCTTCAGATGCAATGGCTTCATCACTAAGGTCATCCTCAGAAGAGCTTTCACCTTGTGGCATGTAATCTTCATCTTCACTTTCTTCATCTGCACCTTCTTCACCTGTTGCACCTTCTTCATCTGGCATGTAATTATCAATGTAGTGCTCAAGTTCATCAACCTCATCATGTACTTCTGATGCTGCCCCTCTACCCTCAATGTTCTGTTCAAAAAACTCATCATGTACCTCTGATGCTGCCCCCCTACCTCTACCCTCAATGTTTTCTTCACCAAGATCATCATGTACCTCTGCTTCTGCCCCTTTGCCCTCAATGTTTTCTTCACCAAGCTCATCAAGTACCTTTGAGGCCCCTCTACCCTCACAAGTCTTTTCACCAACAACATTATGAACCTCAGTACACTGGAATTCATTTCCCCCATCCACATAAATCTCAATCATGGATTTATGGTTTGAAGAATGAGCAATCAGTTCCATCACACCCACATCATCAACCAAAACCCTCAACGCTTGTTTACCATTCACTCTGGGAATTCTGTAATATATATTTGTCCACGTGGTACACCCAAGTTTTTGAATTTGCTCTTCCAAATCGAAGTAACCAAATCTATCCACATCAAGACCATAAACTGTTTCAAAATCACCTCCTAAGTACTCTACATTGTCATCCATTATTATAAGTTTACCACCGTGGTTAACTAATAATGACAATTTATCCACCCTGCAGAGAAGACAATTTAAAGAACAAAAATCAAATCAAAAGTTGACACACACATCAACTCAATTCTCTCAGAACTTTAAAATTTGAATTTATAAAAAACACTACCTTAATAAACCCTAAATTGGAGAATCCCTAAAATTTTTAAAGAACCCTAGATTAAACCCGATTTTGACAATCCCTAATTTAAATCATAACTGCAGAATTTAAACCCTAATTTTAGCAGTACAAGATGGGGACAAAAATTGATTAACATAAAGTGAAAGAAAAAAGGCCGACAACGAAAAATACGGCTTACATTTTGTCGTCGTCCATTATTTACGATTGAAAGGGACCACAAAGGCGGGACAACACGACCACACGATTGATGAAATTGAGCGTAGTTGTCTCGAACTTTAGCGATTTTTTTCAGATGAAACTCACAAAATCTTCGTCGATTTGGTTGAAGTATTGGTTGAGAAGATCGTCGACTCACAGAACCTTCGTTGATTTCGTTGGATTCATGGTTGAAGTTCTTTAGGGGCGAAATTTAGGGTTTGATAAAAGTTGGGAAAATTTTTGAAGAGATCGAAGATCGATTTGGGGAAAATTTTGGATTTTATATATGCAGTTGCCACGTGGAATCGGTTCTTAAAGTTAAAGTAACAAGTATTTACACGTATGAAATGTTCAAGCCATGTCAGCAAGGGAAGCCCGATTTTTGGCCCGATGCATACAATTGCAAAAAATTATAAAAGTGATGTATAGATTTGCCAACTTTAAAAGTGGTGCATTAATATGCAAATTTCGAAAAGGTCATGGTTTTATTTGCAATTAAGCCTTCTTTAATAATTTAACATTTTTTCACAATATTACTTGAAATGCTATCATACAATGCTATCCTAATCCTTCATTGACTATGTTATATGTATAATATCTAACATTAAGTTATACAATTTAGAAGTTTTAATGCATAAATTTCTTTTATAAAAAAAAAATAAAAAATGATCCATTTTAGCTATTATTATTAACAAACTCTTAAGCATGAATACACTTGTAGGAAGAGAAAGTTTGACTATAAGGAAAACTAGTACAACACCCGTGTATTACACGGATGCTTGTTAAAAAAATATATTTAAATTTTCAAATTAATGAGAAAAATTATTTTAGATTTTATTTACTTTTTTTACAAAAAATATATATTATTATATATTTTAGAATGACACTTGTTACTTGTGCGACTTGCATGTCTTATATTATAGTAATTTTTATAACGTATATCATATAACTACTTGAAATATGTTGTAGTTTTATTTTTACAGGAGTAGAATCAAAAGATTCGAACACCAGGTCGTGTCTCTCGAGAAAGGTTAGTCGAACTATTTTGTACGTGTATTCAATCGAAAATAGAAAATAAGTTCTAAACACTCTAATTTAAGTTGTGGAATTTTGATTATTAACTAAGTTTTTTTTAAACAAATTTATTTACCAAATTAAATTACAAATTCAATGATGAGAAAGATGCTAGGGAATCGGGAATGAACGTGTTGAATAGTAATGCAATTATCGGCTTGTGATCGTTCGGTTAAAGGAATCGAGTCACTTACACGTTTAGAGATTCATCCTCAATACCTTTCGGAACAAGAGAATAAATATAAGCTATAAATTAATGAATTGTTTAACACATAGACAATACCTTTTGGAACAAGTCTATTTTGCATGAGTCTCGATCGATCGACTTGTCACTTTTCGGTTCAAGAATCAATTAAAATAAACTAGAAAAGATTATTAGTCGTCTAGTTTATTCGGATCTTGATCGTCACAATGGAATACATAATATTCAAATATGAAAACAAGTTTAACATTAAAGTGTCACTCTTCAATACTTAGAAATCAATTAGCAAGGTTGAAATGTCACTTTTCAACAATATTTATTCCAACTTGAAAATCAAACACCGAATTAAGAATTAACTCACACAAAGTGAACAATTAACGAGTACGATAATCACATACTAATTCAAAGGTTCATCCCTTATCCCTAGCAAGTGATTTAGTTACTCATATAAAAAATAACATCAACATAAACTTTACTGCAAATCATTATTAGTATAAAGAAAACTTATAAAAAATCCAAATCGAGAATTAAGGTTGATACAATTGCTAAACCAAGAATAAGTGCATACCAAAAGAAATACAAACTTCTTCTAAATTCCTTCTCCTTAACACTTCTTTCTCAAGACAAGTATTTAAGAAAAGGAATAAAGGATTAGAATGTTATACAACTATATGAATGAATGATATCTAAACATCACCATAGGGGGGTTTATATAGGTTCAAGAAGGGAACATCCATGGCCCTTTGATCATTTTTGTATAATTCTTTCCACTCATCATGCTTAAGTGCTCCATTATTAATTCCACTGTAACGCCCCGTTTTATTTTAAAGAATTTACCGAATTTATTTATAAAAATCAGAGTTTATTTTTCGCAAAATCCCAATTAAAACTTTAACACTCAACGGGCGCTACTTAAACAACTAAAACAAATACACATTTACACAGATAAAATTTAACAGTTCAAAATAAAATTCCAATTATTCATAATCCTCAAACCCAATCATGCATAATTAAATACTTCAACGGAAAATCCAAGGTCTAACCAACATGTCCAAAATAATTGAAACAGAAGCATCATTATTCAAAGTTAAGCAAATGAGCTATCGAGATAATAAAAGCGGAAGCAAGTAACACACAATCCAACGACCACCACTCGATTGTCTCTTGCTGCCGCCGCCAACCGTGCTCAACCTAAAAGGATAGGAAGAGGAACAAGAGGACATAAAAGTAAATGGGGGTGAGTACAACCATCATACTCACCATTACCGCACAATATATTTTGCATAAAGATTCATAACTATAATTAATGTATGCATAGAATCCAGATCTAACTCCCTATTAGGCCCTATCGCCAAACGCCTATGTACATACAATAAACTTTCCGACCAGACATCGGCAAGGATGTAACTGGAAGCACTCCCACCCCGGATGCAACGGGCATAAGATATTATCCAGGAGACAGTGAAGTTGAAATACCCCTCCGCTCTACACGGATTCGGGCGTTCAGACAATCCCCTCTGCTCTACACGGATTCGGGCGCCCACCTCCCGGATACAACGGGCAGGTGACTTCCACTGATTATGCATTAGTCAAAGGCACTACCGTCAGGACACTTAGACTATCACGCATACAGAAGCTATCGTGACAAACATTTATACAACATAACAAGTGCGATAAATGTAGATTCAACATAAATGAACCCACCTGGTAGCGATCGGAATAAATACAAAATAAGGGTAGGCGGCGAGGTTGACTCGTCAAACACCTACATTTATTAAAATAGTCTTATCAAGGACTATTCTATAATTGCTAATCCCAACTAAGTTCATATAATCATTTAAACACGCATCAAAGCAAGGAAAACACATTTTTGAAAATATCACATAAGTTTTGAAAACTTGACCCGAGCAGCGTTTTTAAAACCGACATAACTCTCAGCATATAACTCATATGAACATAAATCAAGTTTCATTGGAATTCTAAGACATGTATCTACAACTCTTATGAAGACACTGAAAGCAAATAAGGTCACTTAAGAGGTGCTAAATCAACAAACATTAAATATTGAGTCACAGTCCAAATCTGGGAAACTGCACTTGACCAGACTTCAGTAATTACCATATAACTGGAGCTACAGGCATGCTATTAATGAAACTAAAAAACCACATGATAGGAAACTCAAATGTATACAACTTTGCTGAAGATCACATTGGCAAATAATCACATTATCAATGAGTTTAAATACAAAACATGAGATTCAAAAAACCTGTCAGGATCTAATATATGAGGTCATTTGGATAGTGAAAAATCGGTTAACATTCAGTCTCAGATTTAAACCTTACGAATGCCTCTACAACTTTCATTTAGAACACAGAATCATATGAGGTCATTTGGATAGTGAAAAATTGGTTAACATTCGGTCTCAGATTTCTGTCAACATGATAATTCTCAACACATGCATCTCTAACTTCATAAAATCATAGCTCGAGTCACAGAGCACATATCAACATAAAATTTATCTCATTTGAAAGGTAAGAAACAGATATGCAACTTTTATGAAGAGTGTAAGTTCATACGAGCACATTATGACATGAAAAACAGATCAACCATTAAATACATTTATGCTGCCGGGTACAGGAAAAACTGGACGTACAACAAATCTTGTAAAAATCATAACTTTTTCGATATAGATCAAAATCGAGAAATTCCGAAGCCAAGATATAGAAAATTCGACATACTACATATTTCATGAAGGTTACAACTTCAAATATTCAGTCTATAGTGTCTCAAAACACGGCACAACAGAACAGTGAAAAACATGATTTCACATAAAATGATATAATATGCATTTTGAATATTCGCATCTCAACCTCGATTCATAAAAAGTCTCGACAACACATAATATCACTTTTAAATCGGAAATGAACAAGCATCACGAGGATTTATCACAGCAACTAATGATGTCCGATATATAAAAGGCGAAAGTTATTCGAATCGACATATAACGGCACTCGAGATATTGAACGTGAAATCACC